CCCCAAAACCCCAAAACCCCAAAACCCCAAAACCCCAAAACCCCAAAGGAAAATTCTTGGTTGACTTATTAATTCTGATTATTCTACAGATTGGCTATTCAACAGTGAATCAAAAGTCTCCTTGCATTTCTTTGATAGATATACAGTGTACTCTTTCTCGTCAGTGTTTACTACTGCTGGATCGAAGGATTTTATCTGTTGCAGTACAATTTCTCTCTTCTCTTTGAGATCAACTTGTTTGATTAAGGATTCTCCATCTTTGAACAAAGATTCGGTCAATTTCTGAGCTTTTGTCACAGATCCAATTTCTTTAGTATCGTCATTAAATGGATGATAAGCAGTCAAAGAAACTCCATCTTGTAGATCGTCTTCTCCCTCAAGTGTGAGGATGTCAAAACTAGGGTGTTCACCTTCGAAGATCCTAAAGACCTTCTTTCTTCCTGGGATAAGTACTTTCTCCTTTTCTTCTGAAAATTTGATCCTAGGCTTTCCTTCAATTTCAACCAGTTTATAAACCATTCCTAAAGCTGGTTGAGCTTGGCAGGTTACAAGATTTGTGCCAATTCCAAAAATATCTATCTCATGATTGTCCTCATTTAGTTGTCTGATGGTCTTCTCGTTGATATCATTCGAAGCGACCACTACAAGGTCTGAGTAGTCATGCCCGTATTTATCTCCGATTTCTTTGAAAAGCTTTTTGCAATCTTTGGAAAGTTGAGATAGATCTCCTGAATCTAGCCTTACTCCCACTGGATTATGTCCAAGCTCGCTGAGAACCACAGCTCAGAGGAGGAAGTTCTTTCATCCGCTGTTTATTGTGTTGTAAGTGTCTATCAGGGCTAAAAATCTGTCTGGATACGAGGTTGCAAAGCTAATGAATGCATACAGTTCAGAGTCATTTGTATCTTGCCATCCAAGTTCTTCTCTGAGCTCTTTCACTCTAGCGTAAATATCCGTTCCGTCAAGATAGTGCTGCTCTTTGATATCGTCTTCAGAGTCGAAGGACATGATAAATGAGTGGGCAATGGTACCACTGATTGGAATATTATTGAGCATTCCTGCATATACATTTGAAGTTCCTACAAATCCTCCCATATAGCTATACTTGCTTGCAGTCATTCCTCCATTCGGACCCTGTGCTCTTCTCAGTCCAAATTCAATACATTTCACCTTGGGACCTGATCTAATCTTCATCCTGGCTGCATTGGTACATAATAGGGTTGAGAAGTTTATCAAATTCAGGATTGGTGTCTCTATCAATTGAACTAAAGCAACTGGACCAGAAAGAGACAGTAAAGGTTGCTTTCCAAATACAATCGTTCCATCTGGGATCCCAGATACCTCAAGCTGGCTACAATCAAGATTCTCCAACCAGTGGAAAAACTCGTCCTCAGCATGACTCATTTGTCCTTTAAGATATGCTATTTGCTCTGGTGTGAATTTAAATTCTTTGCAGAACTGAAGGACTTCATCAAGTCCTGCAAAAACAGCAAATTTTCCTTTAAACGGGCATTTTCTAAAGAAAGCTTCAAACACAGCATGCTCTTCATGTCTCTTGGCCTTCCAGTAGGCATAGGTCATAGTGATCTGGTAAAAATCTGTGAACAACGGGTTCATGAAATGCTCATGAATCTGGCTTGGACTAGTCTCCATAGTTGAAATATCTAATTAATTATTACGTTCAAGACGTTGTCCTTAAAAGGGGTTTTGGGGTTTTGGGGTTTTGGGGTTTTGGGG